ATCGGCGCCGATAGCTGGTCCGCTGGACGACGCAGCAGAAGCCGCTGGTCCCGCTGGCGCCTTCTTTGCCTTGTAGCCGAACTGAGCGCACACGTAGCCGTACAGACAGGCCTTGACTGCAAACAGAGACAGGTCCTCCTCCGACTTCTTAGAGAAGAGGAAGTACTTGGCGAAATTTGCCTTGGCCCCCTTCCACCACAAGATTGGGGCCGTCTGCAGGACCCGCCAAACCTTCTCGGAGGCGTCGTCGGCGCTGATGTCGATATCAAGCTTCTGTTGCTTCACGATGTGAGGCATCCAGAACTGGAACCAGGGGTCTGTGCGACAATTCACTGTGCTCATGTACTCTGCGGCCGCCTCGCGGATCTGCTGGAGCCTGGGAGGCGAAAGAGTGCCCCCGCACGCACAATTCATCGCCGACATGACGCGCAACGAATGCCTCCAAAGGCCCCGCTGCTTGAAACTGTCCTTGCACACGTCATTGTGAGCACCGTGGCTTAAGTCCCAGTCTGTGTGAACGTTGAACCCTTTTGCCGTGAGATAGTTCTGCATGCAAACGTTATCGGGGCCCTGGTCTGTGGATAAATTCAGGTGGGCCCACTGGAAAGGGTCCGTGTACTTCCCGTCAACTTGCTTGATGTGGAACCGTTCTATGCCTTTCCCCGTGGTCTGAAGGAGCATGTTGTGCACTGTCAACATTGCATGGTACGTCTTCATGCGACGGCGCTTTCGAACTGGCTCATCCTTACCTGAAGTCTGGATCCCAGCCTGCTCATTCGCCATGCGCAGGGATCTTTTTTTCCAGACGCTCAGACCATGCTTCCTGCCCTCCTCGCCTGCGCACTCGAAATGGGTCAAGTACGTCTTCTGGACCTTGGGTCGGGGGAATCAGAGGCCCCCTCCCAAGCGGGCCAACTCAAACCGGTGTCACTGCATCATGTTGGGCCTCATGTTGAGCCTGTTGTTCGAGTGCTTTCGGTTTGGGGCCTGCTGTGCTGCGGCCCCGCCTTAAAATTGAGATCTTCGGCCCGCCTGCAGCGCGCCGAACGCGCGACAGATCTCAATTTCAAGGCGGGCCACCTCCTCCTCCTCCTCCTCCTCCTCCTTCTCCTCCTCCTCCTCCTTCTCCTCCTCCCCCCCCTCCTCCCCCCCCTCCTGCTCCTCCTTCCCTTCCGCGTCCTCCCCCCCTACTCCTCCTCCTCCTGATCCTCCCCCTCCTCCAACTCCACCTCCCCATTCGCCCCCCCCATCCGCCCCTGCCCTTCCGCCTGCCCCTCGCCCTCCTCCTACCCCTCCTTGCGAGCCAGATCTGGGGCCGATCTGAGCGCGGGAATCTGGCGGGAGCGGGTTGTGATGGGTGCGGGTTGTGGGGGCCCTTTTCCGAGGATGTCTCGAGCGAAACCGCCCTCTCCAGAACTTGACCCTACCCGCTCGGCTCGATTCTGGGCCCCCAAATCCGTCGGTTTCGGACCCGCCCCCAGTGAATTTCCCACGGCCTCGGCCTGGGGAGGAGCAACTGCGACGATCCCAGACTCTGCATTCATGATGAAAGCGCCCTGGATGCCGAGGTCGGCCCCGACCTTCGTGGCGTCGGGGCCCGCCATGCTGTAGAACAGGCGGTCGGTCATCTCCTGCTTGCACGCCTCCTGGTACCTCCACAACTCCCGCTTCACGTGCCTCTTGTTCTTGGGGTCCCACACTTTCGATCGCTCAATCTGCGCATCCACGTCGCTGGGCCTCGGTTGCAAAGCACGGGATGTCCCATCCGACCCTCGCACTTCGACCTGGGCCGACCTGATGTACTTGTCCTCGATGATCTGGGACACCTGCCACAGCACCTGGGTCGCCACCGACGCCGTCATGCTGGCCTTCTTGGACTGCACTGCGAACGTGATCATTTTGATGGCTGCATCCTGGAATTGCTTCCCGCGCCACTCCTTCAGAACAACTTTCTTCGCCTCCTGCCGAATCTCAGGCGGCGCCCTGACATCATCGAACCCCAGGAAGCACGCGGAGAGGTCATCGGACACGCGCATGGCGGCAGGAATGTCTCCCTTGGGCATGTTCCCAACCCGCCTCACGTCCTTCCCGAGCCGCAGTTGGAAAACCGTGTTCGGCTTGACGAACGAGAGTAAGTACGATACGATATGTCGGCACCCAGCCCTAGCTTCAGGATGCGTGAATGCACCGCCTTGCTTCGCAGTCGCACCGATGCTGTTGACGAAGTGCGCCAAGAACAGCGGGACGCTGAGCGACGGGAACAGGAAGCACCTCCTGATGTCGATAGAGTCGTCGTCTTCTGCGGGCAAGCTGGCGTAGGGCAAGCTTCGACGGTAAGCCGCGTCGCCGAGGTTGAGCTGCTTCACCAGCTTCTCCCACTTCGGCACTCTATGCTGGAACCATGCGGACCCTGACCCAGGCGAGAATTTCCAGTCAAAGTTGCGCCACAGACTGCAAATGTCCACGAACACACGGCCCTCGACTGACGGAAACGAGAACAAAGCGACTTGCACGTTCACGAAGGTCCCCATCTCAGACTTTGCAATCGGCACTTTGACCAACGTGTGACGGGCGCGAAGTTCGCTAATCGAGCCAACAACCAAGTCACCCCTGTACAATCGAGTGCCCAATTGGTTGTGCTTGAAGAGGTGAAGGGCAAGCTTCCTGTTGGCATACTGGCCTCTGCCGTCGCCGTCGTAGAGCACAGCCAAGCCGTTGCGGTCGTCCACATCGCACTCCCAACCGTGACCGTCCAGCAACTGCGTCTCCATGGTCTCGGAGTTCGTCACGTAGAACTGCCTCTGGTCCCAGCTGGGCTGATCGCTGAAGACGTCGATGAACGACTGGGGTTGCACCGCTCTCCACTTGACCTCCCCTGCGTCCTCGGCCATGATCGCGGCGTCGCAGAGGCCCGAGGAGAAACTCAGAACGCGATCTCCGAAGTAATCCGAGCTGAGCCAAAATGGCTCCGGCTGAGGCGAAGCACTGGGGGCCATGGGCCCCATCGGGCCTCATGGGCGCCATGGGCCCGAGAGGCCCCATGGGGCCGTGGGCCTGATAGGGCCCCATTGGGCTCGTGATCCTCATGGGGCGCATAGACCGTAAAGGCATCGTGCCTCATAGGGCTCATGGGCACCATAGGGCATAGGGCCCCATAGGGCCCATGAGCATCATAAGGCAGATAAGCCCTTTTCGGCCTCATGGGGCCTCACAGGGCTGCCAGGGCGCATAGGCACCCTTAGGCTTCATAGGGCCTCATGGGGCCTCATAGGTCTTACAAGGCTCGTAGGACTCATGGGCCACGCATGCATAATAGCGCGCATAGGCTTCATAAGGATCATACGGCACATGGATGTCATAGACCCCAGTAGGCTCATAAGCTTAACCTGGCCCATGGATCTCCCAAGGCCCATGGCCCCCCTTACGCCCCATGGGGCCTCATAGGGTCTCATAAGGCTCGCAGGATGGTTGGTCTTGCGTTGTAATCCAACGGCCAAGGGCCGTCAGAATCTGGCGGCCATCAGGTCGGGGCGGTATCCGCACCCGTCGGGACCGCCAAGAGCGGTGAGAGAGGCGGAGTCACAAGGACTTGTTGGCCTCGGTGCAAGGGGGGGTGGAACGACCCAGACGACGTCGACGAGTGGTCGCGTTCCACCCCCCGAGGGAGTGGCTCAAGTTGCCACTTCCGAGGGTTAAAACTGAGGCCTCAGTTTTAACCCTCAAGCGGTTCCCTCTGCCATGGCGCCGTTTGTGGACGTACGCTGTCCTTTCATCTGATCGCTCCTGATCGCTCCTCTTCTTCTTCCTCATCCTCCTCCTCCTCCTACTCCTCCTCATGCTCCTCCTCCTCCTTCCTCCTCCTCCTGCTCGCGTCGGCGCTCTCACGGCGCCATCCTGGCGCCCTCGCGGTGGCGTCGGAGGCGCCGCCCAAGCCAGCAGGGGCGACGAATCCTGGCTGTGACGAGCGGCGGCCCGAGTCTCCAAAAACACCCCCTCCCCTGACCACCGCCCTCCACCACCACCTCCCTTGCATTCCAAATGCTGCCAGGCCTCCTCACCTCGCCCTCCCCCATCTCCTCCGCCCCGCCCCGCCTCCAACTCCTGCCACGACCCCGTGCTCGCCTACCTCCATCAGCCCCCGACTTCACATCCGCTGGGGGGGGCGATGCATTTCAGCCATGACATTAGATATTTCGCACGCTCGATCGATCTGCGAAGAGCCAGCCCAGCAGCTTAGAACTACCCGCATATTCTGACACTGCAGGGGGGCTCCACGTTTCCTACTGAAAGCGCTGCGCCGACGGAAGATTGCCCTCCGATCAGCCAGCGGCGCCACGTTGCGCGGCGCGTCGCCTCGGACTCGCGCAGGCGGCAGCTCGCGCGACAGAGGGGGGGATGGGACCGAACTCCTCCTCCCCCTCCTCCTCATCGTCCTCCCCCCCTCCTCCACCTCTTCCTCCGCCTCCTCCTCCTGTGCATCCTCCTCCTCCTCCTCCTCCCCACCTCCGCCTTCTCCTCCTCTTCCTCCTCATCCTCTTCCGCGTCGTCCTCCTTCCCCTCCTCCCCCCGAGTCCAGCGCTGAGCCCATCGAGCGTCTGTAAAGCTCGGCTAGAAAATGGAAGCACGTTGTGCAACCGTGGGAAAACGGAGCTGGCTAACGCATAAGGTCCTCATCCGCTGCTTCCTCAGGCTTCTGCTTTTTCGGTTTCTTGGCGGCAGCCCCAGCGATCTCCGCCGAAACCGCGACGGCTGGCCCCTGCATCGCCCCGAGACGCTTCGCGATCCAAGCGTAGCATGTCGTCTCGAGATGCTGCAGGGTGGGGTGCTTGATATCGAAAATCTTGATGAGAGGGTGTTTCACGCCCAGAACTGTCAAAGAAGCGCTTTTGTCATCCCAATTGTTACTGATGACGGTGTCCATGGTCAATGAAATCTCCTTCCATTTCTCAGCGACGTTGATTGTCTTGCCCTTCGGGCGGAAAATGACATTCTGCACGCGGTCTGTGTCGGGGATGACTTCGAATTTGAGCACGCCCGTGCCACGCTGGTAGTCAATCTTGTCGAACTCGCCCGTCGCATCCCCGAAGAAATTATGGAGCAAGTTCCCTCGAAACTCGTGACAATCAGTGAGGAGGGCAGCCAAATTTGTTTTCACCAGGTAATCGCCCTTGATCGGGAAGTTGTCAGGGAGCCCACTGGCAAACAAGCGGATATGGCGAACGTCCTGAACTCTGTTCGAATATTTCTCGATGATCTTTTTCGACGGCGGCGGCTTAGCTACCTGTGATACCCAAGCCCACATCCATGCAGTCGGTATATCACCCAGAGTGGACACTTTCGAACTATCGAAATGGGGGTCCTGGAGATCGGCGCTGGACGAAGATCTCTTTTTTTGCTGATGAATTGGTCGAGCCCGTTCGGATCGGACAACAATAACTCAACCTTGACGATATCGTCTGGCTCGGCATTCAATTTCTGGACAATCCGCAGAAGTCCGTCCACACGAGATTTCATCAGTTTCCACTGCACAGTCTGCTTCGGCTTGACCTGTTTCTCCAACAGAAGAGCTGCGAGGACCTTAAACTCCTCGCAAGGCATGGTGACACCTGCGTAAAGAAGCGGACAATACAAGAGTAAAAAAGGATCGCGAAGAGCCAACCAACCAGAACGGCTTCGGATGACGAGGCGACATGGGACGAACGTGAGTGGCATGGAACCAGACGTATCAACGCACTTCCTCACCTGCCCCCCAAGACGATGAGATCTTGCTCAGACGCTGCTCAACGCACTGCTTGAAGGTTGAAAAAATCTCATGTACCCCCTGCGTTTGTTCCGGACACGAGGACCCCTCAAAACGGACCGCACCCCTCCCCCCCCCGCTACAAAACACGGCGTTTGAACGTTTTTTCGCGGGGTGAAATGTCGTTGGCGCCCGCCCCCCTTCGAAACACCAACGAGCCCTCATCACCCAACCCATCCCCCCCAATGTTTGTCCGCTCCTCCTCGGCGTCCTCTCCTCCACCCCCTCTCTTCTGTTCCTCCTCCCCCTACTCCACCTCTTCCTCCTCTCCTCGTCCCCCCCTCTTTTTCCGCGACCTCCTCCCCCATCGCCCCCCTCCACCTTGTCCGATATGGCGAGCGCCGAAGGGAGCCAACGAACGCGCAGTCCGCGCCACGCTCAGGCCGAGGACTGTGGAGACGAGCGGGGCAGAGGGCGGCTTGACGACGGCAGCGACCACGAAGACACGACGAGGGAGGGAAGAGGGAGGAACCTGGTACTAAACCATGGAACACGTCCTGGCCAAGGGGAAAGCATTCCGAAACTCTGGGGAACATAAGGACATTAGAGGAGAGGGCTGAAGGGGAAGGAGATGGGAGGACTGATTTTTGCGTAAGGGAAAGTCGCACAGGTTTGGTTTAAGTTGTGATGCGTTTTGGTGGGCAAGTTCAACGCCTGTAGCGGCGGGCGGGGGAGTGAACTAAACGGTGTGATTGTGTTTGCTGACAGCAGACAAATCCTCATTGGCGAAATCCGCCGTCCAAGGGAGCGGGTTGTGATGGGTATGTGTTGTTCGATAGTGATCCTTTCTATGCGGGGTGACTGTACCATGTTGGACGGATTCTCCCTGCTCTGATTCTGCCAAGGGCGTTGGCCTGGGCTGAATCGGAAGCTGGGCGAGGGCTGGCATATCCGTGGCTGCTAAAAAGGTCTTCCCGGAACACAGGGACAACTTACCGGAATAAAACTCAACACGCTAAATCATGAACGGGCTGCTTCCCGGAAAAAATCAATTTCCCGGAGCTCCGTTTAGCAGCCACGGGTTTGCCTGCCTTCGCTCGGTTTCTGACTGTTCCTCGGGACCAGCCGCCTGCGCCTCGTCCGCGCCGCTTGCCCATAGGGGGGGGGGGGCTCTCCTGGCTCTTCGTCCCGCTCTCGCCTCGCGGCGGATCCTACAGTTAAATTTTGACGGTGGGGACTGTGTATGTAGGTTAACGACCGAAGAGTCGAACTTACTGGGATACCCGTAGGTAGAGGAAGGTCAGGGAGAGGGTAGCGATCCCTTTTCCCATGCGCCGTGGGCAAGCGGCGCGGTACCAGGATCCAATACCTGAGCCGAGACGGTAGCAGGATAGATGAACCGAAAGGTGATATGAACGGACTTCACACACAAGGACGAGAGGTAAGGACGCAGGGGGCCTGAGACGTCCAACAAGGAAATTCCATGAGCGAGGGCCCAAGGGATCTACCCCGCGAGGCTGGCCAGCGAAAGCGGTGAACGAAGGGCCGAAAGGGCAAGGCTGCGACGAGAGCACCCTCAGGAAGCCGTGTGTCTTAACCCATGCGCATTGGCCGCAGTCGGACTGAGTCTCCGCATCGCGGGGGGGGGGGGGGGGGGGGGGGCATCTTTCGAAGAAGAGCAATCCACATAAGCACAAACTATTGGCGCTCCGCGCGGATTTCTTGGATCCGCGCCTAGGCCCCCCAGCGACGCCGCCCCTGGCGCGCTCCGCGCGCCAGGGAGGGGGATCCAGCGCGAATGCAAGAAATCCGCGCGGAGCGCCAACAGCTTATGTGTATGTGGTTCTGCCTTCTTCTGTAGTGTTGCAGAGAAGTGGCACAGACCTGCAGTCCAGCTCACGATCAGCGAGGCAACATTGCATGCGTAAGCGGCAGCGGGGTCGAGGAGCAGGCGCGTCGCTCCGCGATCTGTCTTTGGCAGGTGGCACAACGTGGGGTCGAGCCAAATCGATTGGAACCTCCTCCTTATCTCCGACTCTTTCTCGTCCTCCTCCTCCTCCCTCTCCTGGTCGTCGTCGATGTCTTTCAGGGTCGGCGGCGCCTGCCGTCAGGCCTTCACAATCGATAGGGCACGACAGAACGAATGAGAGACTGAGAGACACAAATCTCCGCGTGCGCGGTGGGCGGCACTTCGCCCGGAACCTGCTGTGCCTCGTGTTAGGTCGGACATGCCCTCCTACAGGCGATCTTGGACGAAAGATCAAAATACCCCCAAGAAATATTCAAACCCAGATCTGGAATAGTCAGCACATCGCCCCCTGACTATTTTTTGGCCATGTTTGAATATTCCCCTTGTAGAACACGCCCGACTGAAGCGTCGTGCAACAGAGTCAAACAAAAACGAAGAAACCAAACCCTCGCAAACCGGGGCCCACCTCGACTCTCGTGCTCCTCACACAGAGCCACCTCTCGCTAGCATGGTGCGCGAACGCTGTCTGCGGTTACAGCAGCAGCGGCGCAAACACCTGGAACAAGTAGAAACTCAGGATTCGGGGGAGCGTTGGGCGGGCCACAACGTGGGTCTCAAGTTCAGGTCAGCAGATGGGGGGGGAGGGGGTTCGGCTCCACGAGGCTTCCAAGTGTGGGCCAACCAGGGATGATTAGAGGGGAGTTGCCGACCCCCGTTGGGCCGGACCCCCATCGCCTGCGCCCCGAAGCTGCCAACAAGCTGTAACTCAAAGGGCCCAGCACGGGGAAGCGGAGGAGGAGAGAAACGAAAAAGCAAAGGCAAGGACTACCCGGGGGCTGGATGCACTGTACACTCGAGTCATGCACTGTACACGAGCTGGGGGTCCCAGCTCGGGCGTCTTGCCCGGCCTCCACCACAACTCGGCCTTCAAGGCCACGTCTGTTCCCCCGTCCTACGGCCAACATTCTACACTTGCGCATGCGAGACACCTTCTCTGCACTGAAGGAAGGATTGCAAGCAAACCCTGCGCAACACAAAAAGCTTACGCTAGGGGAGCTGGCAGAAAATCTGAAGTCCGCGCCCTCGCAACACCAAATAGACGCCGAACCAACCGCAACATCCTTCAGTGCGCGGGGCGCGGACTTCAGTAGGCCGCTGTCTTGCTGCGAGATCCCCCCCCAGCAAGGGGGCTCAGCACGCCGAATCATCCTATCCGCCGTCTCCTCCCCCGTACGCCCCCCTCCTTCCCAGAAGTCCCCCCAAATCGGCCGAAGTCTCTCGATACTCTCCAGAGTTCGAAACCTTCAGAGACCACCTGGCGCCCAAAAGGGCTACACACGTACATTTGACGCGCAAAGAGCCCATCCACTAAGCATATTAATCTGACACAGGACGAGGCCCTCTCCTCATGGAGTGCGCGCCGGGGGGGAAAGATAGAGCTGAGGGCAGTGCGGATGAGCAAGCGGTTCGCTCTCCAGGGCAAGGGCCCGTTCTCCAGGTGGAGTTCCCCGACTAGGGTCTGCGGCGTCGCCGCCTAGTACCAAGCCCGAGACGGCGAGCGAAAAACGAAGAGAATTTCACGTGGATTTGCTTTAGTCTTCATTCCTGGCCTAAAAGAATCCGCACGCATTTGACCTCGAAGTCCGGAGCGACAATCTCCAGGACACCCCATGCCCACCCTATCGTTTTCCGAACGAAATCCGCTCTGCGATGTGGGCGCCATGACATCTGGAGGAGACCTTGTTTGAGCATTGCCTGGAGACGAACCTTTACGCTGGGTGGGCCGAGGCTGCAAGTCGTTGTAGTCAAAAAAGAGCGCGGCATGGCGAGATATGCACGAATGGGAATAGCCAGCGGCATCCTGGGCTCGGAGTGAATGCCCGATCGGGCACCGCAAGGGAACAATATAGCCTATGACAAAGGACAAGACTTCGGCATGGAACTCCCATATATGGTATCCGTGAAGATCTTCAGGGTGCCTGAGGCGACCTACAAATACCTCCAAATATTGTGATGGATACTGCATAGATTGCCAAGAAATCATCGATCGCCCAAGAAAAAAAGAAGTCAAACGATTAATACGCAATTCCTAAGACGTCTCTTGAAAGTATGAAGGTATGCTGAGGCTTTGTAGAGAGGGCCTAAGGACTCCGAGTGATTCCTGCGGGCCTGTAACAAACTCCTCACGATGTCTCAGGATCTCCATGGAACAAGGGAGTCATGGGAATTCTCGGACGCGACGGCCACCAAACCGCATGTGTTCCTAACCAGTGCCTGCTCCGAAGGGCCGCCTGGAAATTCCGTAGAACTCCTTAAGCATATTCTCAAGGATTCCTGAATGAATCCTTGTGGTCCATAAAGATGTTCAACATCAGCCACCGCGTCCGCGAAGAAATCAAAACAACTCCGATGGGTTTCAAATGAAATCGTGATGCTGCTTCCAGATTCCGACTAATGCCTCAGGAAGTCTAAAACGTGATCGAGAGCTCCTGAAGGATCCCACACCTTTCTCATGATTCCTATCGTATTCTCGAATTCCCAAAAATAAATGTCCACGGAATCGTCAACAATTCCTCAGAATACATCAAGACTTGCGTCCGCAATGTTCCCGAAGAAACCTAAACCTCGGAATCAAAATTCTGTGACTATGGTGAACCGTCAATCCCTCCGACGAACGAACGCGAATGCTCAAAGTCCAATCCCGTGACAACGGACGGAATGAACGGTCACGCCGATCCGTTGTCAGAAGCGTCGCTGCACACTGCAGCTCAGCAACTCCGCTGGGCGCG